GATCTCTAACCTGTTTTCTGCCCCTGCTTCATAGTAGAGGTGTGTGTAGCTCTCTCAGACACACACTCACTCTATCTGGCATAATCAGACTAACCACTAGCAGCACGGAGGTAGAAATCCCTCCCATATTGCTGATCATTTAAAATATCTACAAAGGTTTTACTGTCCTCACCTGGTAAGTAATATTACCACCCAGTAAGGTGAAAATCCCCCATTGCGTTTTTGTGTTATTTTGTGCACATACAGACGAGTGAAACTGGTGGAAAGTGAACCAGTAAACCCCTGTAATTTACACTTAGTGAGTGTTAAGTGTGTCTGTTCTTCTGTGCTTGTTCAAAGCCAACCTGTGACCAGACTGGAGACGATGAGAGGCAGCACCAGCATCTGCAGCATTCTCATGAGGAGCTCCCCAGGAAAGGCAAAGTACTTGATCTCCCTCAGGGACAGCTTGTGGGGGCGTAGAGCAAAGCCCAGGATTACACCTGAACAGATTTGCATGTGCGCACACAAAAGGCACAAATGAACACAAAAAAGTCAGATAAAGTCAGTGGTCTGCAGAGAAAACAGTGCTGGACTCTACACTCACCCAGAGCCACAGCCGCGACAGTGAACAGGACGAACAGGTTCCTCTTGAGGAAAGCTTTGACGCTGCCCCTGCTGATGGAGCTCATCCTCTCCTTCATGGTGCTGGCTCTCCTCTCCATTGCCCTGCGCAAACGCCTCCTCAGGTCTCCTCTCTCCGGCAAGGGGGGTTTGTCCGCGTCCTCGTTTAGGAAAAGACTCGTACTTGCGGGGGGCTTCTCGTTCATAATCAGCTCCAGCACCTGGTCCAACAGGCAGGTCTCGTGGGAAACTAAGCAGGGAGAGAAGTAATTTATCACGTGTTACAATTACGATTATCTTATTGACTGGATGACAATTTTAAAGCATATGGAGGATCCACTTACATGGAAAATGAGAATATTCACACAGAGTGGAAAGCATCAATTTGTAAGAGAGGACGTAAAAGTGTGGGAGGTCAAATCAAATCAAACAGATCACGGTTTGAAAGATTTAAGAAACTCTGACAAAAATCCAATATTCTTCTATGAAAATACCCCACAATACAGCAAATAGCACAAAGTTGTTCATTTGTTTAGATTCATCCATTCATTCTTTTTATCACCATCTTAGATGCTTGGACATACCTGACGTCCAGACTCACCTGGATGATGTTCCCAGGGCCGTGATGAGGGCCTGCAGCAGACCACCGATGAAGCTGTAGGGATTCCTCCTGGTCACCATGAAGTAAAGCAATGGCAGCACAAAGAGGCCATGGATGAGGAGACCCACAATGACCGACACGGTGTACATCCCCAGCTGACCACCCACCTCTGCCAGATCCTTCATCTCCACAATTTTCCCTGCAATCAGGAACAGGATGCCCACTGGAGCGTACCTGGTAGAGTGATTCAGAGGTGATGAATGAGTTTGGAAGAAGATGGATACAATGTGCGAGGCATCTAAAATTTTAAAAGTCAAAAAAAACCAAGATGAGTGACCTATGAAGAAAAAGGTTGTAGTTGTTGAGTCTTGAGTCTTTACTTACCAGATGATGATGGCCACCAGTCTCATGATGGCTTCATTCAGGCAGTCAAAGAAATCCCTAAGAGCCTGGCCCTGCTGCTTCATGTTGCCAATGACCAGACCGAAGCACATGGAGAAGACCACCAGACCCAGAGCGTTCACTCCACCAGAGGAGCTGGACACAGGGATCGTCTCCTCCACTGTCTCCTGTCGTAGAGAAGAGAAAGACTGAACCGATTACAGATTATACTTTGGTGAGAGTGGAAATACAGTTCATCATATGCATTTTTACTCCTTTTCAGTAATCGTGTAATCTCCAGAGGACTCGTCTGCCACCCACCTGTATGGTGTGCAGCACCCTGCTGAGGTTCATGCTCAGGTTAGACTCTGTCACGTTGAGGGAGTCGGTGAGGTTCAGGGTCACCGTCACGTTCCGTGTATGAACCGTCTTCTTGTAAACAGTTTTATACTGTAAGAGAGTCGGTGACATTCAACTAAAATAATGCATCCATTCTGTTTGGGAATAAAAGTGTCTGAAAGTTAAACAAGACTATATTTTGATATGGATTCAGGTCAGGGGGCAGATGCAGGATTTTTCTCCCCTTTCTTTAACATTTATATTTCACCAATTTCCCGGGGGAAAATATATGAATCTAGATGAAAGAAATCAGTTATCTTTAAGGCACTGATCTCTATGAGTGTGAACAATCTGGTGCAGCTTGCCTGAATTTAAGGGTTATGGTGGAGTTATGTGCTTTACTGAGTTTGACATGTTTTCTCTCTTTGATTCTTTCCCTTTGTTGTTATTTAAACTAGTTTGGGAAATCTATTATGAAAGTTGTGTTGTAACTTTAAATCTGAGGGCTTTTGTAATTCAAAAAATGAAAATAGAAAAAAGATGGATGGCCTCACCTGCTTGAAACAAGCTTCTACCAGATTGGGGGGAAACATGTTTCTGAAATAAAAAATAAAACAAGATTAAATAAACAGATAATCAATAACCATTTAATAATTTTACAGGGCAATCATTCATTAATGATTCTGCATTCTCACACTGACAATATCCAATATTTCTATTATATTTCCTTTTCTGAATGAAAAAAAGTACTATGTTTGATTTGTGGTGTTGCAAACCTAAACTAACTGGCTATTGACAGTAGCTTCATGCTTAGTGTGGATATGAGAGTTGTATCGATATTTTCATGTAAGTCTCTGCATTTCTAAATATAACAGACTATTACTACAATCTTGATTCCATGTGGAAACTTTCAAAACAGCTTGATAAAGTAGCAGCTCCTGTGCAATTTCACAAATCAGTGAAGTTTCCATACTGTTATTACCTGATGAGATCCAGAAAAGCATCAGCAGCCTGAATAGGTTCAATGTTTCCGCTTTTTGGCACAGGACTGTCTCTGCTGCCTTTGCCCGGCCGGATGATCATCACAATGACGATGCCAATGAACACAGCGATCAGGGTGGTCACCATGTAGTAGACCACTGCGCGAACACCCATTTTACCTGACGCCTTGCTGTCCAAGGAGGAAATACCTGAACAGAGGACAGTCACTTTAGAATGCAGTCTGATGCAAGTTTAGATTTTGTTTTCAACTTTTATTTAATGGATTACAACACCTCTTTGCTGATCCTGACTCTTCCTCTATTACCAGTATTTGGTTAAACAAACTGCTTTAGCACAAGCTATGGCCCATAGTTAACACTAATTATAGTTACTAATTAGCATAGCATGATAACGGTCTAAACTATATTGATTGATGTTGATTACTTATGATGTAAGATGTACTTCTATTGATCCCCCATAGGGCAAATTCCATACAAAATAGCAGAGGATAGTTTCGATCTATCGACCTCTGGGTTATGGGCCCAGCACGCTTCYGCTGCGCCACTCTGCTGATTAACACCCCAGATGGGACTCGAACCCACAATCCCTGGCTTAGGAGGCCAGTGCCTTATCCATTAGGCCACTGGGGCA